GTAACATCCCAGTAACTGTTATTGACCCCATTCAGTGACATCACAGGTTTATAACAAATTAATTGACTCTCATTTAGTGATGTCACAGGTTTTTAACAGATTAATTGACCCCATTCAGTGACATCACAGGTTTTTAACAGATTATTTGACCCCATTCAGTGACGTCACAGGTTTTAACAGATTAATTGACCTCCATTCAATGACATCACAGGTTTATAACAGATTGTCTCTCATTCAGTGATGTCACAGGTTTTTAACAGATTAATTGACCTCCATTCAGTGACATCACAGGTTTATAACAGATTGTCTCTCATTCAGTGATGTCACAGGTACAGTATTAGTATGTACATGTATAAAGGTGCTAGAAAGCAGTATTAAACTGACATGGGTGAATATACTTTGCAACAATTACCAGTAGCAAGCATAGTAATGTACTAAATGTTTCAGTAAGACCAATTTTAATTGGTTGTCAATTCACATGTATCCGAATTTCAACCAATCATAAAGTATTAAACAAACTTAATTTTCATGGCTAGAAATGTTCACAATTTCAGGATTTTATAATGACATTCTCACAAAAGTCACATGACACTTCAAATCGTAGGATGCCAGATAAATTTTTATTTCTACAAAATTTTGTGATTTCCACTGACCTACAAAAATTCAAAAAATGTGAAATTAAAGCAGTTTACAGTAGTAATGTTGAATGTAAGGATAAAAAGGTTTTGTTTCTGATCCTGTCACCGTTTTTTCTTTATTTTTACAGTACTGTAGAAGTATTAATTTTTCATTGGGTTTTATTTCACTATTTTACTTTTACTGAGTCAAAGCTGTTAAAATATAATCCATGTAATACAGTAAAATACTTTATTTTCACTTTTTTCTATTTTTATTTTTGCTATTTTCATTGAAAGGATGATTCAGTGAAAATAAAATCCAGTGAATATACCTTTTTCCTATATTTTACATTCAACTCATCAAAAATCAGGGAAAATAAATTCCAATAAAACACCCAAAAAGCCTTTTTATTAGCGAACATTAATTTCAGCTAAAATAAAGTATTTTACAGTAATACATAGAACTCATTGTTATAACTCAGTGCATATGCTCAAAGTACCAGTAAAAATTAATGCTTTACAGTATTTTGGCAGAAACCAGGAAAATAAAACATTGTGAGCAGATAATTTTTTTTGGACATGTCAGTTGAGCTCTTTTTTCACTTTCTCAATGTTTTAATACTTGCAATATTTACGTAAGTAAACAAGTGAATATGAAGCCTGGTAAATACACTGCAGTCTGTGTGTATGTGCAATGAGTTCACTCCTGAAATTTTGAAACCTTTTAAATTATCGTCAAACAATCAACCAAATGGGAGGCTTTTCAGGTTGCTATAGAAACATACACTTTCCCTAAAATGGAGTACACATTTGAATTAAAATTTCTATTTTCTAGAAAAGAGGTACATGTATACATTGTATATATGCTGCAGATTTGTATTTTAAACAACATTCCATAAATGTCTTTCTTTCTACCGACTGTACACTATTATTTCAATCTCTATAAATAGCAGGTACTTGGTCACTCGACAACCATATACCGGTAATCATCAAATTGGGAAAGTTTCTCCCACCAGCGAAAAACTGTTTACAATTTTTATTTGGAGCCACAAATCTTTGTATTACATGGATTACGTAATCAGATGTTAAATCAGAGGGGTTATAACCTGGGCATGTACTGAGTCCCAATTGATTAACAATGCAGGCTAACAATGCAAAGGCTCATGGGTAGACGCTTGATTGTAAATTGCAATATAATATGTTGTTTGCACAGGTGACAACTCTCCTGCTTTAACCTTTTCACCACCAAACTTTCTCACCCACATTTTTCTGCACTTTTTCATGTTCTTCAATATTTCTGGAAATAAACCCTGATTTTGAAGCCAACTGACAAAATTTCAATTTTCAGTTTTCTACTCAAAAAATTTGGCTATTTTTGTCCCAATCTTCTGCAGGAAATTGCAGACTATAAATGGGACTATTTTAATTTGTGATGAAAAGAGGGAACAGATGGTGAAAAGGTTAAAAAACACAACTGGAATATATGTGATAATATTATTACACTGTCCTAGGTACAATGCTAGTAATATCTCAGTGTGAATTACCAGATGATTCCGCTTTTTTTTGAAAACCTGAATGTGAAGGCGTACATATCAAATATCTTGTTCATAAAGAGGATCGACAAGGGGTATTTTCGTAAGCTGTAATCAATTGTTTTTATTTTCATAATAATGTAATTTAAATAAATTAAAAAACGTAAATTCATAGACATGGGCAAGGTGTAAAATGTAATTCGATATTTTATTCATCCGTAATTTGTACAACAATCTTTTTTTTGTAAGCGATGAAGCATTTTCCACATTTAATGCCGTATTTCGTACGCAATTTCAAATTTTGATTCTTAAACACAAATTATCAAGTATATTAAAAAAATGTAATTAGGAATTTGCTTTATTTGTAAAGTCTTATTTCCTGTAAAAACGTAAAATGCATTTTTTCATTTACTGTAACCTGTACCAGCTATCCCTCTTGCCCCCCTTTCATAAAGTATCCTTTTCTCTCAATCTTATAACAGACTTTTGTGAATTGGAATTGTTGAATTGTGGGATTTATAAAATGCGCGTTATTGTCAATATAGACCTTATTTGTGAATGGCCGCCAAAATCTCATTTAGAGTGAGAAAGTCACATGACTTGTTTTTGCAATCAAAATAGTGTTCCATTCTCTCCTGTCATCACGTCTGCTGTTACCCTGACTTGTGTAACCATGGTAATTAGAATATTGGGCTCGGCGGTCATTTGCTACTAAGAACTATTTTCTGTGTTTTAGAGCCTTATCCAGATAACCATTATGTAAATTAGTTTTTATTGTGAAAGATACTTTTTGAATTATTGAATTTTAATAAACTAATTCCAAATATAACTGTAGTGTAATGTGTATGTTTAAGGTAGCGAGAAGGTTTTGTGAGTATAACAACTCTGAAATATAATTGCATTTGTAATGCATTGGATTCAAACTCCGCAAATAATGAACTTCACTATTTCCTTCAATTCACACTTTTGCTGCAATGTAATACTGGATGATCACAGTGAAATTGCTACTTAGCTGTAGCTTGCAGGCTTATCATGATTTGATCTTGGGTTGAATCGTGCATTGGAATGAACACAAGGCGTGCTATACCTAGTATGTCCGTTTAGTTGATATGACATCACTGATCACTAATTGTTGTTGTGCTACTACTTATGCTCTTTTCCTTGTGTTTCATTTTTGCAATAAAAAAAAATTGGGAAAATTACCAGAAAAAATTATCCTACTACAGTTGAGGAATTTACAATTCGGTATAAGAATTTTTTTGTTTGCGCTTTTAGAATTCACCTCCAGGCATATTAAATCTGGATTTTTTCCTTAAAGTCCTTTCTCTAGAATTTTCACTCAACTTGAGGTCCTTAC